TTTTTTTTTTTTTTTTTTTTTTTTTTCTAATATAAATTTCGAAAAATGATCCAATTTTTTGTGCACAATAGGTGATATTACCATTAAACTAACAGGTGATCTAACGGAGACTAAGAACAAAATTTTCTTATTTACTTTTTTTTCTTGTTTATTTTGCAGTGTTATTATGTTGTATGACTTTTTCAATTTTTTTTTTTCTTAAAATTTTCCTTTTGAATAGTAGAGTAGTATCTTTTGCTTACAGTCGATTACTTGAATTTCTCATTCCTTGGAAAACATTCGTTGTTGCTGCTTCTTTTCTTAGTCATGTCATACACGACTAGTGTGAAGTTTTTTGTTTCGAGTTTTCAATTTCCTTTTAGCAAGCACTCATTAGTAACGTGTTTGTTGTTGCTATACGTTTGTTTGTATATTTCATGCTTTTTGCTCGCTTTGATACCCCTTAAAGTATGCTTTCATTTTAATTAAGTATTGCATAATTTGATCTCACCGAACATGCATGCATGATGTCAGAAGACTTTCAATTTTAATTATGTATGTAATGATGAAACTTAATTATTAACTTTCTTAACGAAAATACATTTAAAACTTCATTATAAAATATGTCAGCTTTTTACGAGCATATGTTTGTTATTTTACACACCAACCAAAGTAAAATAAAAAAGATAATTGAGCGCAAAAAAAAAAAAAAAAAAAAAATTCGACAAAAAATACATAAGTGGAAAATGTGATTAACAACTATAATCCGAGCAACAGCCCAGCATCCCAGCAAATCATAAGCCACAATTTTTTTTGTTTCTTTTTTTGTTGGTTTTTGGTAATTTTCGTAACGTAACAGCCTTACTTTATAGCAAAATTGATGTTGAAGAGTCTAACTGTGACTATTAATCTACATATAACAAATTTGTTACACAAATCACAAAAGCTCTGACAAAAAAAAAAAACATAACCACGAACTTTCTACGACCAGTATCCCAGAGACTGGAATAAAAGAACAAAGGCAAGTTACATCTTTTCGAAATATTCGAAGCGAACGTTACCTTACGTGGCGTCAGTTCGGGCATCTTCTTCATTTACTTGGCTCATTTATTATGGCTCACTCACTATCCATCTTTTCAAAAGTTTCGTCTTCAACGACGAAATTTCCACAACGCGGAGACGCCAAGCGCTGCTTGTTGCGATAAAACCTTCTCACCATAAAATTCAAGCATATATAATATTTAAAAAGCTTTTACAGTACTTTGAGAATGACAAAAAGACTACGAGATAATACGTTACGGCGTCTCGAAATACAAGTTCTATGCTGCATATCGTTTACGAGCTAAAAACATTTTCTTCATGATCATTTTCTGCATGAAGAAGAGAAAGGCAACAACACGTAGGAAATTGCACAGATAAAAGGATTAAGCGATTTATGAAACGGAAAATCCAGAAAGTTTGATTTCAAAACAACTGATCTGAGAAGAACTGGTCTGACTTCGACTCGGATCCATTACGTTTAACAAATGGAAAATTAAACGTTGTTTAATGTTCTTCTTCTACACGCGTAAAATGGTGAAATGGTTCAAGAGAAAATCAGAATGGAAGAAAGAATTTGCATCAAAGCAAATGTAGTCAAAGTTCTGACTTGTATATGTGTGCAAAATGTATACTTGTCTTATAAAAGACAAGCACTACTTCAATTTAGGGATTCAATTATTCGGCATTTAATTGATGACGATGAGAGAACTGATACACAGAACTGAATACAGATTTCTTTGAGCTCCATTACCCAGATTATCTTCTGTATGTAATGCATACGTAACTGTATCGATTGCATAAAAGCCATATCGCATATGTCCAAAGCTAAAGCGACGCAACGAAATAAACTATTTTTCCCAATGTGCCGCAACAAGTTAGTATTAGCGCGTGAATCATGGCTTCACAGTCAAATTTTACATAAAAACACAAGAGCTTCTATTCACCTTTTCTATAATAATTCCGTAAGTCAAACAACAATAAACATATTACCTGGCCAATAGTAGTCAATGGTCAATCACGTGGTTGGTCGTGAAAGGGTTAATTAAGCATACATGCAAAGCAAAAGATATTCTTATTAATATTAAAAGCCTAACTATGTCGATCACCTAGCATTAAATGGACTATAATTTTGTATTCGAAGTTGCAACGATATCGCAATATATGGAGAAATTTTTCCGAATTTTAACTCAGTTTTTAAAATGCAATTACTTTCGAAGAAGTTAGCACATGTTCCCGTATCTATGTACTCGTATCAATTGCTATAGCGCCCTTTACCACATTTGTCCTTACAAAGTTACGAGTATCTAAAACATTT